AGTTTGGCGCGGTGCCAAACCCGTTCTCCACCAGTTGTTTGAAGCGAGCAAATGATATGACTGTATCATATCGTTCGCATTACCCGTTTTCTACAACTTTTTGTAGCATGCGGGTTCCAACAAGAAGAGATGGCTCTGACAGGGTGACACACTCATACTGCCTGACACGCCCAACCGTCCGCAGCGAACTAGGGTGTAGACTCTACTTGCAATACTCTAATATTATGTGGATGGGAAGCAGCATTTGATGCTCCACAATCGCATAGAAAGTGAGCAATGAGAAGCTGCAACCACTGTTAATCTTTTAGCCTCATGATATGGGATGAAAAATACTTTTATCAGCTATGTTCAGATGATTTATGACGTGTCTCATAATGTGGCAAAGATGGAAGAACATTTGGTGGACGGTCGCCCAACACAGCCTTTGCGTTCATCGTAAGGGAGCTACTCGGCGTCCCTCCACATCATCCTTTGATTCCCATTGATTATCAGTTGACTGGTTCGTATTTATAACCTCGGTGCACGCAAGTTGAATCTTTAGAATTCGTATTTAGGACAGCCAGTGCTTATTGGAGGTAGTATGGGGACCTGTAGCTACGTCCTCACAGGAACTGAACGCGGTATGGTTGAAGCGTATGGTACAACTTGTCATGGGGCGGTAGGTTGAGGTCCCTTGACCAAGAGGATCCTGATGGATAACACATCATTTTAGGGTCGAGCCTTGTCCCGATCGAAATCCCGTCAAAAGATTCCATGGAATGAAGTTATCGAAGGCTTGAAGAAAAAAGGAATATCTATACGTCTAGCTTCTCCGAAGCTCATTATGGAAGAGGTATTTTGTCTCCATCGAACGTTACTTTGGTTCTTCTTCAAACTGGAGGTCATCTTTTTTCACTGACTTTTTTTATAGCATTAGTGCAGGTGTGAAGATATCAGAATAGTTTCTTAGAGTAATGTACATTCGTTAGAAAAATTTCCCACTATATATAATTCGATAGGGTATGTCTGTGTTCGTGTGTGGTTTGTTGCGTTCCGGTTGTTTTTGTCACGAAATTCATAGCGCCGGTCCCAGTAGCAGTGAGACATTGGTTCCAAGAAGTGATGTAGGGGGTGTGACGGGAACACTATTGGTGGGTGACAGGAAGTGATATCAGTTGATAAGATCCGATAAGATGCGATATTCATAACGCGGGTGACAACATCAACTAGCTCTTGATTCTAAGATACGATATAGGTACGGGCCAAGAATATTCTAGGTGACAAGAACTGCGAGCGCTGATGAGATTCGACAAGGAGCTTCAGAAGGGAAGGTCACCATACATAATGCGGGTGACAGCATTAGCGAGGCGTTCATTTCAGCAAGTGATATAGAGGCGTACGATGGTTGATTTTAGAAGCCGATTACGTTATGATAGGGGCTGATAAAGACGTTTCATGTTGTCGTCGCTGCTTCAAGGCGGTGCAGCTTTTACACTACCGGATTACAAGGATTTAGAAATAAGGACATTGATGACGGGTGAGGTAATCATATCATTCGATAGGAATGGATAAGATACCATCTGCACTACATTTTTATCACTTCTTACCGCTTTAAATGTCGAGTATTAGAGGCTCAGTGTGTTAACTCTTTCCTTCGATGTTCGATATAAGGGATTAAGGTCGTCCATTGAGGTGTTTGCGATTAGATGCGTGAAATGTCGAGAGAGGGGGAGGGGATATAATACGGCCGAAACGGGAAAATCGGGAAATTCATCATCAAAAATTGGCACTATTCAACTATTACTACCCCAGTTTTGCGAAAACAGTGCGACCTTGATCGACTTTTTTCTAGGGGTGGGTTTTTTGGCTGAGATTGCGGTTACTGAGAGTAATTCGACCTCCTGAACACGAATATTCACATCCACTTGGCCTGAAATTGACTGGCGCCGCGCCATAGGCGCCAGTGATTTGGGGCATTTTGGCGCCGGCGCCCGTGCGCGGCACGCGGCTAGTGGTTGCCAAGCCGAGGGGAATTGATGATTTTCGTGATCAGGAGGTCAAACTACCCCTAGGTACAAGTTTTCAGCGGATTTCGTGATCTAGGGTACTTTGGCGCCGGCGCCTGTGGCGCAGGCGCCAGGCGACTTCGAGAGGAGTGGATGTGATATTCGTGTTCAGGAGGTCGAATTACCCCTAGAACCCAACTTTCAGCCAAATCCACCGTGTAGAAAAAAAGTCGATCAAAATCCGGCCGTTTCCGGAAATCTGGATTCGACCAGCTCTTTCTGTAGCTGTGTCTTTCCAGTCAACTAGCTGGAAAATACTCTGCTAATGTGCGCAATGCCGCTACTCGAAGAAACACTCCGTACCTAACGTGGTTATGAGTGGGGCAGCGGCAGAAAGTTACAGCTTCAAGAGAAGTAGACAGTATATACACAAGAGAGCGGGAGGTGAAAACGACATGGGATTCCTCTTTCTCTCTGCCTGTAGCAGCCACAGTAATCCACACTCCCCCCTCTAACCTCGAGATGTACACACTAGGTGCAAATGAAACCTAAGGCACAAACGACACATACTGGGTCCTCTTAAAGAAGCTAGTCGAGCAAACTGAGTTCGAACAGAGAAATGAAGAACCACTGTCAAGTTAAGCTGAGAAACAAAGACCCGCAGATCTCCCGTGGGGTGCGCCACAAGCCAGCTTCTACTCAGCATCGCTTCCTCATTTGAATGCATATGTAGTCATAGCGACTCAGAGGGATCCATGTCGATCATGCATGATCACATCAAGGATGTCGACTTTTGAAAAAATGGAAGCTCGTTCGATCTGAAGGGGATATGGCAATACAATCGTAATTTGCCGCGCTGGTGGAAGTCGCGTGCGACTCTGCACCCACAAATGACAATGTTTCAGGTCATGGATGGCGACAGTAGGCAATCTATAACCAAAGATAGAATAATGTACGATGTGGCACTCTAGATGAGCATAGTGCTCTATTGGACAGGCCAACTCGGTCTGAGAAAACACCGCGTCCATCGCTGCGCGCGACGCGGCAAATTACGATTGTCTTGACCGTCTCCCCGGTCTGAGTGACACGAAGAGTATGTGTGTGCCAAAGCT